CAGGTCGAGGGTGCGGTGGCCAGGAGCGGCCACTGCACTCCAGTCTGGGCAACAGAGTGAAACTCCAAATCAAAAAATAATAATAATAATAATTTTTATAGGGTCATGAGCCCAGGAGTTCGGGGCTTACCTGGGAAACATAGCTAGACCTCTGTCTCAAAAATAATAAAACAATACTTTTTATAATAGTAACATAAATGTATAGTTACAAGCAATATTTCCCTGCCCCACAAGAGACTAAAATCAGAATGGATTCCTGAACTATCAATTACCTGGAAAAAAGTCAATCAATCAATCAAAATGGAGTGACCCACACTAACGTTCTAATTCACCAAACCTAAACAAAGTTGTTACTTGACCTATGAGAAATCAGGAGAAAAAGATCACAGCCGATTTCCCAAATAGGTCAGTTTAAATTTTCATTTGGCATGATAATAAAACTCCCTCTGTCTGAACCCTTACATAAAAAAGGTAGCTTAAAGTAACTTAATGTAAATATATCAATTATTTTTCAGTTGTTCTGTCTTTCTGACTCTGCCTCACAGGAAAGTAGCTCTGAAGTCAGGCATGGTAGCTCCCAGCACTTTGGAAAGCTGAAGCAGGAAAATTGTGTGAGCCCTGGAGTTTGAGACAAGCTGGTGAGACCTCAGCTCTACAAAAAGTAAAAATAAATAAATTAGCTGGGCACGGCAGCACACATCTGTAGTCCTTGCTACGTGGGAGGCTGAGGAGGGATGATTGCTTGTGCCCAGGAGTGATTGCACTACTGCACTCCAGCCTGGGAGACAGAGTGAGACCTTGTTTCAAGAAAATTTTTTTAAAAAGGAAGAAAAAGAAAAGTAGTTTTGAAAGGACTAACACACTCTTTGTTCATTCTTTCTTTCTTCAGCCTTCCTTTGTCTATAAAGTCAACCCCTTCGGCTCAGTGCATCAAAGCATGTATTCTATTTTATGGAATGGAGTGTTGTCTGATTCCAAAATGGTAAATAAAGTCAATTGGGGCCAGGTGCAGTGGCTCATGCCTATAATCCTAGCACTACAGGTGCGCACTACCATGCCCGACTAGTTTTTGATTTTATTGTAGAGATGAGGTCTCACCAAGTTGCCCAGGCAGGTCTCGAACCCGCGGGCTCAGGCAAACCACTCACCTCAGCCTCCCAAAATGCTGGGATTACAAGCTGAGCCACCGAGTCCGGCTTTTTTTTTTTTGAGTTGGAGTCCCACTCTGTTGTCCAGGCTGGACTGCAGTGGCACGTTAACGGCCACCGCAGCCTTGACATGCTGAGCTCAGGCAATCCTTCTGCCTCAGCCTGACAAGTAGCTGGAACCACTGATGCATGCCATCACACCTTGCTCATTTTTTTGATTTATTGTACAGATGCAGTCTCACCAAACTGTCCAGGCTGGTCTTGAGCAATGAAGCCCCCCTCGCCTATGCCTCCCAAAGTGCTGGGATTACAGACGTGAGCCACTGTGCCCAACTACTTACCTAATTTACAATAAAATCTTGCCTTTGGCATTTCTGCTTATCTGTATCTTCTATTTTTATATTGTCAAGACTGATAATATTATATTTGTTTGTAGTATAGCAATAATTAAGTCTTCCATGCTTTGTTGATTATTTGAGTTTAAAAACTGAAAAAAAAAAAAGTGTTAGACTGGGCTCGGTGGCTCAACCTGTAATCCCAGCACTTTGGGAGCCAGCGGGTTTGAGATCAGCCTGAGCAACTTGGCAAGACCTCATCTCTGCAATAAATCAAAAATTAGCTGGGAGTGGTAGCGCATCTATAGTTCCAGCTGCTTGGAGGGCTGAGGCAGAAGGATCGCTGGAGTCCAGCAGGTCAACGCTGGGGTGGCCGTGAGCATGTGTGCCACTGCATTCCAGCCTGGGCAAAGGAGTGAGACTCTGACTCAAAAAAAAAAAGAAAAAAGAAGAATCACATTTCCTTTCTTTTTTTTTTTGAGTTGGAGTTTTACTCCGTCGCCCAGACTGGAGTGCAGTGGCCGCTCCCGGCCACCGTAGCCTCTACCCACTGGGCTCCGGCGATCCTTCTGACTCAGCCTTCGGAGTAGCCGGAATTACAGGCGTGTGCTACCATGTCCAGCTAATTTTTTGATTTATTGTAGAGATGAGGTCTCGCCAAG